TTTCTGCGGCTGTCTTGCCAGACTTGTTTCTAGTGGCGTATGCCTGAGCATATCTAGTAAAATGGTCGACAGCAACCAGGATATATTGATAACCACCTTTACTAGGTTCCAGATGTAAATAATCAATGGATACTAGTTCAAGGGGCTGGCTGGTGGTGATGCTCCCCATGGGTGCCCTGATGTGGGAAACAGGCTTTTTGCTTTTAATGCAGGGACATTTCCTTGTAACATAAGTCTCTACATCTCTTTTCATGTGTGGCCAATAAAAGCGGTCTCTGATTAATGACAGTGTCTTTTCAGTCCCCAAATGATTCATGTTGTTGTGTAGAAGTTTAAAGGCCGTATCATGATACTCCTTAGGAAGGACAAGTTGATGTCTCTTTTTAGTCTTTCTGTAAAGTAAGCCATCTTTGAGGTGTAATCTGTCCCACTCGTAAAGCATCTTTCGGGCTAGACCACCAACTTTGCTTTTAATGTCATTGGTCAGTGTTTTAACTGTCTCTTTGAGCTTTGCGACTTGGCCAATAACAGGGTCATTTTGTTGAGCTTTCACTAGCTCTGAATGGCTGATTGCTGGGAGTAGGTCAGGAGTCTGACTGTTTTGTAACAGGTCCAGAGCTGCAACATAAGCAACATCGTTTGACTCCGCAGCACGACTGCCATCCCAAATAGTCTGAATAGTGTCTCTTGACAGCTCTTTTGTGCAAGCATCTASATAGCTGTCAATATCGAGTGGTAGTCTGGACAAAGTGTCTGTGTCCACGTTGATCTTGCCTGGTCTGTACTTAACCTCAAATCTGAAATCAGCAAGCTCACCAACCCARCGGTGGCCTACAGCATTAAGCTTTGCTGTGCTCATTGCATAGGTTARCGGATTATTATCCGTGTAGACTGTAAAATGTGGTGCATAATAAAGATAGTCTCTGAATTTTTCACATATCTTATATCTTTCTTTACAAAAATGGCTTCTAAAGAAAGACCGTCCATCATTAAACAGAGGTGGGGGCCTCCGTTTTCAGCTGTCCCCCTCCTACAGCGCTGCCATTGGCAGTATCACTCCACCCCCTGTTAACAATAGGTATTAAATAGGTGTGAACGATAGCCATGTGATGTGAGTATCAGTCACCTGTGAACGATGGCCATGTGATGTGAGTATCAGTCACCTGTGAGCGATAGCCATGTGATGTGAGTATCAGTCACCTGGAGGCAGGACTCAAAAGCCTGAATTTTGCCTGAAACTCTCAGACTGAAGAAGTCTCTTGGAAGAGAGACGAAACGTTTCATTAAAGAAGAACCCGTCCAGAGGACCTATACAATTTTTTTCCTTTTGATTTTTTACCTGGATTACTGAGATGCATCAGGACATTAATTTAATTTAATTTTTACTTTTGAAGGCTATGTTCTAGCAATATTAAAGAAAGTTGTACTTTTGTAGTTTGTGTAAATAATTTCACCATGGACTACTTAGGAAAAATAATACCAGCAGTATTTCCCAACTGACTTTCTACTGAAACGAAACATCTGGCGGAGGGCGGAATTGACGTAAACAAAAGTTGGGAGGGGGTTATGCAAAACAGCATGCTCTGAAGAGAGCTAAAGACCGGCAGAACTGAAAAGGTGAAATTTTATTATCTGAGATACATTTTGTTAATTAAATTAAATGAACATGTTTTGTATAGCCCACAGATGGATCCTAACTTGTTCTAGGACCCCCATTTTAGGTCACCTTTAAGTAAAAAAAACAACAACATGAAAATAAGTGCAACACAGGCGGTCAATCTGAGAGAGAGCTGCTGCTCCGGTTAACTGTTTGAATAAAAGGCCTAAATTCAGACTCTTTTTACAGTCAAAATATGATCCACTGTCAACTACAGAGACAAGTATTCAAGTAATTACATACGAAAAGATTCTTTGAGGGCAGCTTCTCTGAAACATCGTGAAGGAGGAGTGAGAAAACACTATTTGTTTACCAGTATTCGCCCCCTCGGACTCACCAGACACGGACCTGGCAAAATCACCAATAAAAACTAACTTTAAGGTAATTGTTTCTCCTGGATAAAAGCTTTACTTAAATAAAAATAATGTAACTAATAAGTATGATTTTTTTCCAAAAGGGGATTAATTACAGTTTAGTCAGTGACAGACGCGTTTGCCTCCCTAGGTACCAGTCTGTCACTCTCCCCTAGGGCGGCCGCACAGTGCAGTGAACATGGTCAACCAATCCGGCAGGGAGGAATTGTGCTGGAGGTGTAATAGGTTTAATGTTGTGTCTTGTGATCCTGTGTTTTCTGATCACGTGCCTGTTTTATTTGAAATTAACCTTTCATGCACCAAAACTAAACCACATGCTGCAGCTCGACTTAGTCGTGTTTTTAACTCTTCCACTTCTGGTCAGTTTTCATCTGTTTTTAATTAGAAGTGTTCCATTCCAGAGACTGTGCGCAACAAAACCGAGGCTCTCCGTTCATGGTTTTACTCTACTTGTGAAGCAGTCTTAGACTAAGTAGCTCCACTAAAAATCAGACCTCAAAGAACTAGGTCTGAACCCAGATTAAATGATGACATTCAAGCTGCCAGGAGAGTGTGTCGCAGGGCTGAGTATATTGTATGGAAAACAGATAAAATACAGGTGTCATTTCAAATTTTAAAGGACTGCTGGCATCAACAAAGAGTGAAAGATGCCAAAAGAAAACATCTGTCCAATGTTATAGTTTCAAACTGTCACAATCCTTGTGTTCTATTTAAAACAATAGACTCTGTTCTTAATGCCCCACACTCGGACAGTATAGAACCCTTACCTGCTGTTTGTCAAAACTTTCTGAATCTTTGAGAAAGTCACTTCTATCAGGGCCCATATTCCACCTTCTGCTCATGACTCCTCAGTCTCTGTGCCCTGTTCTGCTGTTATTGACAGCTTTGAGCCTGTGACCTTGTCATCTCTGCAAGAGGTGTTTAGTTAGTAGCTACGTTTACATGGACATAAGTAATCGGATTAAACGGCCATTTGGAATTAAATTGCATCATGTAAACAGCCCGTTCGGATTATTCTGATCCGATTTAGCTCGATCCGAATGAATTTTTAATCCCAATAAGAGGGGTGGGTCATGCCGACTGATAAGTGGAATGACGTGCACGTAAACACTTAATTGGATCATCTTATTCTGATTGTGGAAAACTGACCTGAGTGCACAGGTCTTCTGACTTTCATCCACCGGGTTCTGCTCTTTAGAGGAGGCGGGGCAGCAGTGCTCCAGCAGCGCTGCGCCACGCAGAACTTTCCCTCCACGCTCTCTTTAACAGATAAAAAAGGAGACAAACAGCAGACGTTGCTTCGCAAAAAATTAAAAAATCAAAAACACGTATTGCTTCATCTGCAGGTCAAGTGGGGAGTAACGATGTCTCTACCGTTATTAAAAGCTGACACAGGTCCGTCCTGAGCACACAGAAGAGCTTTGTTTACGTTTGGAAGTAGAGCTGAAAGTTTACAACACTGCACTTGTCATGATCGCATTGTGTCCATGTAAACAGTACATTAGGATTATTTAATCCAAATTCAACCAGTTAATGGCATATTTGAATGAACAGAATATTTTAGAAGTTTTACAGTCTGGTTTTAAATATTTACACCGTACAGAATCTGCCCTTTTAAAAGTTTTTAATGATGTATTTTTAGCAACAGACTCTGGTGACTATGTTGTCCTCGTGCTTTTGTATCTGTCAGCTGCTTTTGACACAGTGGATCACAAGATCTTACTTCATCATTTGGAGCACTTGGGGGGTTTAGGTGGTTTAGGTCCTAACTAAACCAACTGGTTTAGGTCCTACCTAAACCAACTGGTTTAGGTCCTACTTAGCTGAGCGTACTTTCTGTGTCCATTTTGGTGAAAGTGTATCCTCTTCTGCTCTTTTGTGTGGGGTCCCAGAGGGCTCAGTTTTAGGACACCTCCTCTTCACGCCGTACCTGCTCCCTCTTGGCTCTATAATTAGAAAATGTGGTATCGCTTTTCATTGTAACGCCGATGATACCCAGATATATGTCCCACTAAAAAAAAGGACACCAACTCTCTGAGCCCTCTGTTTTTATGTCTAGAGGAAATAAAAGCCTGGATGGCAGTGATTTTTTTTAAGTTTAATGAGAACAAAACTGAGGTGATGATCTTTGGAAGCTCCACTGAGACACCTGATGTGGATGTTGGTTCACTGTCATCAAGCCTTTGGTTACTTATCTAGGCATATAGGTTTATGCTGAACTTAAGTTGAACAGTTGTAAAATCAAGTTTTTACCATCTGAGGCAGCTGGCTAAAGTAAAGCCCATTCTTTCCAAGAAACATTTTGAAACAGTAGTCACGCTTTTGTTACCACTCGGCTGGACTACTGTAACCCTCAGTTCATCTTTGCCGGCTTCAGGAAGTGGCAAAGGACACTCGTTGGCCTCCCCGGCACCAAAACATCTGACTTTGGTCAGACGCTCCAGTCTGTCCATACCCAGACCTTGCCCCCTGGTGTGGCCGCATGCACAGCCCGTCCACTACCGTTGTGCATCTGCTTATACCAGTCATTTATTTTCATGTTTCTGAAATTCTAACATAAATGCTGTGCTGGGAGGGCGGAACTAATGTAAACAAAAGGTTGGTAGGTCATTGCCAACAGCAACATATCTGCATGAACAGCTCGTTCTGAAGAGAGCTCGAAACAGGCAGAACAGAAATGGTAAAATGTCATTATCTGAGATTTATTTAGTGAATTAAATCCAATGAACATGTTTTGTATAACTCACAGATGTATCCTAACTTGTTCTAGGACCCCTGTAATGTGTTTCTCTGAATGAAAATCAACAGCAAACTGAAATAACGAGTTTCTTTTTGTATTTGCTATTTTAAATTTCATAATATTTATGAAGTATATATATATATATATATATATATATATATATATACACACACACACACACACACACACACACAATACATACAATATATACAATATGATATACAATATAAACAGTATTATAGTTTTTATTTGATATGGACAATATACAATACGTTGACATAAAAACAATTTTCCTTAAATGCATCAATTGCAAAAATCTGAGTTTTTTTCCTGCTGGAGAGCAGCGCAAAAATCCTGAAAAGTTCCATGAAGCTAACAAAAAAGGCAGTTACTCGCTGTTTTCATTTAGGTTCTGAGTGTATCTCAACAGAGATACAGAGCAATTTTTTTTATAAGCTCAAACTAAACTTGTTGAACTTTTGTGGGTTTCCAAGGGCTGCACAATTTTCTGCCAGAATCTGACTGGCCTTTGGGATACCAAATAACTGGTACTTATACTGTGAACCTGTAGGAACTTAACAGAGTTTAAACCTAAAAGCTTGTCAAGAACAAGTTTCATGCCATGTTTGTTTTAAGAGAAGTCAAATGAAATGTCTTCAGTTCAGTAAGATTTCTTTCTTTCTTTTTTTGGACAGGTGTTTAGAACATCACAAGCAACAAGCTACAAACAAAATCCAACAATGGTTTACTTGGGACATTTTAAAAGCCCACAACTTAAGACTTCTGAACCCTTTTTCCTCTATAAGATATAAAAAAAAAACAACTGTTCGAGGAAACGTACCCTGTGCTGCATATTTGTTATTAGGTTTCTCAGTTCTTACATTTTTATTACATTTAATTGTTTGTTGCAATGAAATTTTGTTGAACATAATAAAACAAAATTAAACACACACTCTCTCACATACACACAACAAAATCAACAACACATAAAGCAGACTCAACAAAAGCACACAGAAAAAATACAAATCATCTTGTCAAAATATCTGAACAGAAGTTTACAAAAGCTAAAACCCTAAGTTTTTCTTTCAGGTGCATGGCATTATGTCTGCCTCACCTTCAGGAACAATTAAGATTCTTTACAGATATGTCCATATCAAATAAAAACTATAAACCTCACCTGAAATGTTGAAAAAGGTTTATAATCAGGTCAGTTCAATTAATAAAGATCCGTTTTTAGGTTTTTAAATAATACTCAGTACTTTATTGTTCATTATTAAGACAGACATGTACAAAGCATCACCCTGATTAATTAAACCTGTTTTAGATGTTGATCAGTTGGTGTTTTCCTCTGTTTTCTAGTGAGAGTTTGATAAAATATATGCCCTCTCTGTGTCTGACCGATGTATTGAACTCTGTGTTTGTGTTCACCTGCTGATTTTCTGCAGGGGAGCCCTTCTTCAGGTTCATCAACTCTCTAATCTGGACCAGTGCAAAGGCAATGGTGACCCAGGGGACACCAGACAGCACCCAGGCAGGCCTCGTCGAGTCCTCTTGTTCCTCCTGGTGTTTGGTCTTCATTATTGGTACAATGGTGGTCTGACAAGGTGGGTTCGGTCTGCCAGGGGTGCTGTGGTTCTCAACTAGGTCGATGGTAGCAATGGGAACTGGACTGGAGGGAACTGGGATGTTCTCTGCGAGAATTTTATCCTCTGTAAGAAAGTAGAAGAATAGATTTGCCACTTAGATACTAGGTTTTAAATATTTTATGATGTGTAAGTTTTTACAACATTGTCCTAGATCAGGTGTGCCCAACCCATCGCTTACAGGCGACTCGGTGCCCGCCACCTGCTTCCCAGGTGCCCGCGAAGCGCAACCTTGCAACAGCTGATGAGCCGGCTCATCAGCTGTTAGCAAGGTGACGTGTCCACTTGCTAAGCTTCATTCTAACTCCGGCAGAAGCGGTGGAGGTGGGGGGAGTTTAAGTAACACATTAAAATGCACAGTAACGCGCTCCCTCCGCCCTCCCCATCTTGCAGACGTAGTCTCGCGAGTTTTGGGTGCGGTGACGCAGCGCTCTCATGAGACTTTAGATTCAGTAGTGGAGTTTAAAACATGGATGGTAAACGAGCGAACAAGCAAACAAAAACTTATTATTTTCACACAGAGTGGGAGGAGGAGTATTTTTTTGTTTATTCTAATTTGAAGCCTATTTGCCTCATCTGTAATTCGAGCGTTGCCTTACCCAAAAAGTGTAACTTGGAGCAACATTTCAAGACAATGCAGAAACGGTATGAGGCAGATTTCCCTCCTAAAAATTCTTTACGGACGAAGTGCGGGAGCTAAAAAGGAAGCTAGCAGCCCAGCAATCAATTTTCACTCGGCTCAGCACAAAAGGTAAGGCTGCTACACCTCATACCGTGTTAGCCGCATTCTGGCTCAACATAAGAAGTCTTTCAGCGATGGAGAAGTCATGAAAGAAGCGTTTGTTGAGGCTGCAGATGCGCTTTTTCATGATTTCAAAAATAAAAGTGAGAACGTATTAAAGACGTGCAGTTGTTCACCAGGATGGATGGATGTGTCCAAATTTGTGTTATGTTTCAGTCTGGACTGCTCCGGTGTTGAAAATGGCATTTTGACTCTGTAAAATGACAATGGGATCAAATCCAGAGCAACAAGTCGCATGGATGGAGAGTTCTGGAGTCAGCTTTCTCTCACATGAAAATCATCAAGTCCAAGAACAGATCCACTGATGATCATCTGGAGACCTACTTACAGCTCCAAGTCCTCCAAGTCGGAGGTGCGCAACGGTGTAGTTTCTGAATAAAGGAAAATGATTTAACACAGTTGTTTACACTTTTAGCAGCACTTTTTATTCCACAGCTGACCTGCTAAGAATGACAGATTTTATTTTCTGGATCTCTGACAGACGGACTTCAATCTCTGAACTCGTGAAGTTTTTCTTTTTAGCTTTCGCTGTCATTTTCATGAATGGACACTTCCTGATATGAGGCAGGAAACATAGCCTTATATGGTGTTTTTGGGGTGGTAATTATGCTAATCTCCTCTCCCGTGCACGAGCAGCTGGATACGAACAGGTGGAATTTATGCAGCTCATTTACACACTTTTCCTGAAGATGGAAGAGTTTGTTGAATCTGACGTGACATGTTCGTACGAACCCTTCGTACGAACAAAAGCAAGAGAAATTTAGGCTAAGAATACGAACATGTTCTTGCATGAGGCCCAATGGGTCTGTATGTTGTTTTATTATATTTTAGACCAGACTAGTGTCTTATACACTGACTGGCACCTTTGTGTTATTTATTTATTTAGTTTGCAGTTTGGGTGTGCCCTTCATTTTCTGTACTTAATGTGACTGTGTGTGTGTGTGTGTGTGTGTGTGTGTGTGTGTGTGTGTGTGTGTGTGTGTGTGTGTGTCTTGTCAGGTGGTGAACAGGTGGAACTCTATGAATCGTCTGGAGCCAGCAGTCTGGAACAGTGAGGGACTGAGGCCTTCAACACCTACAGATGACACCATCCTGCATGCTGCACAGAGATTGAGATTTGAAATAGTTGTTGGAGATTTGTGAATCTGCACCATCGTAAGTCACTTTTTGTAATAGTATAAAGAGAGTTTTATATTGTGTGCTTTGACTTTAGTTTTATGTTTTGTTTTTCTTCCCCTGTATGGAGAGAAAGAGAGGAGAGTTCTTTGAATAAATGGAAATGAGTTCCCGTGCTCCAAAGTTATTTAGGTCTGGTTCTCTCAGTGTGCAGGTTTTCAGCCCTCATAGCTCGCACGTTACAGGGAGTACTAATTGAAGGAGGTAAAAAAATTGATCCTTTTGTTCAAGCATCACTTTTCTATTTCTCTGTCAGGAGTTAAGTAAGGATTTTCTCTTTTCTTTTCCTTTTTTTGTAGGTAAATATATGGTTAAGTAGATAGTTTTGCTTGACAATACTTAAATTAAATAAAACTAGCAACACATTACGTTCTGTTTTATTTACTTTAAAGAAGTGAGGAGTAGGGAGACGAAAAATTATGTTTTGTGATACTGAGACTGGACGAGTAGCTCTCGGCAAACTGCCGACTTCAAAAGTAGCTCTTGGTTCAAAAAAGGTTGGGCACTCCTGTCCTAGATTGTCCAGGTTATAAAATAAAAGAGAACGTTTATAATAAAATTTACTGGCAGCAAAGACAAAATGCAGAAAATAAGGACAAAATTAGTGAAAACAAGTCCAATCTGAACAAGTTATGGGCTAGAGAGCAAAAATGATCATCGAGTTAAAAGTGAAAAAAATATTTTCGTTGCTCTTACGCTTTCCAGACAAGCTGCACAGATAACCTCTAATCTTTATTAATGCATTTCAACTCAAATTATATTTCACTGACAATTCGATATGTTTTCCTTTTAATGCCTTTAATGACTCATGAATCTTAATAAAACAGAAAACAAAACCTTTTTTCTACTCTAGGAAAAGGGATGCATTTTGTGCCTTGTTAACTATATTCAACAAAATAATTTTAAACTTGGCCAGAAATTGAGGTCACATTTTCCTCACCTTTTCCTTCAATCTCTCCACTTAGACACTGAATGAAGGAGAAGATGAGGAGGATGGCGAGGGAGGCCATGCCGATTCCTCTGAAAGTCTCTGCAGCACCTGGAGAAAAAAAACACATAAATATAAATGACTTCAGCATTTTAAACTTCCACTGACAGGTCATTTAGCTGCACTGTGATGTTAAGATTTAGTATGCTTTATACCAAAAAAATTAACGAAGACTCCTCCCACCATGGCTCCACAGCCCCGACCCAATCCGAGATGCAGACCCTGCAGGATCCCCTGAGCTGAAGTCCTCAAAGCTGGCGGGACAGCAGCACTCAGGAAGGAGATACAAGCTGCCCAAACTGAGGCATGAGTCACACCTGGATGACACAAGGAGATGTATAGATTTATGACAGAACATAAAAACTAAATACTTTTGTATCAATAACCCACCAAAAAAGAAACCTAAAGTATTCAGTGATTTTAAAGAGAATTTTCACAGTAGAAACTGTTGTGATGTTCAATTCTTGCTCCAACTGTCTCAACTTTTTCCTGAGCACCACTTCCTATTTTCTGATTAAATTAGCCAAGTCACCTGAACAAAGAGAGTGGTGGCAGCATGTCAAACCAAGTCCTTAGAGTAAACAGCTACAGAATAGTTTATGGTCTGTAAGGAGCCTCGCCTCTTCCTGATAGTGTCCTACTTTGTTTTCAATTGTTTTTTGCTGCTCTTCAGTTGAAGCAGGATGTGAAGCTCAAGCTTTTAACTGAGCTTTACTTGTTTGTTCTGTGGGCGGATGTCTGAAATTAAACACAGCCCTGTGCAGCAGATGCATACTGTTTCAGTTTTACTCAAGAGTCACAGAGAAAAAAAAAAAAAAAAAA